CTATTACAGCTGCCAATTAATCATCCTGCTTAAACAAATAAATGAACTTGAACTTGAACTTTGCATATATTTACACAATTTAAGTTATATTTCAAATTTATCGGGAGAAGAGTTGTCCCATCGGCTCTCAAATCTACAATCGATTGGGAAAATTTCCAAAATGTGTCTCAAATTAGGCCACGTGTCCAAACTCTTCGTTGAAGGAAACGTTTTACCAACACCCTTCGATTTAAAATCAAACATGTGCATCCAAACTCTTATCAAAAAATGTAAATGCCATGCAAATTTTGAAGTAATTACTTTCAATTGGATTAGGTACGTCTGGTGATATTTGGTGATGCCTTCGGAAAGACCTCCGCTCGATAAATCTCCTTTCGAAGTTTCTTTCTAGCAAGAGATTGGTTACAATCTGATAAGCCTTTTCGTCATAGCTACGATCTCTAAATTTTTCTTTTTAGTGTACCGAAATTACAGTTCCCTCCAGATCTAAATTCCGTCGGCGGATGAGGACAATTGTGCTTTCGAACATAATTTGAAACTCTTTGGGGAACTGTTTATTCATCAGAGCCCAGTCACCGAGACTTGTTGTTCTCCGTCGACAAAGATAAAATTGATATCTTCAGCAAAAAAATCTCTTTATGATATGAACCCCTCTGGCATGAGATTAGATGCTAAATTCTTAACGAAAGTCCAAACTTTTAGTAAAACTATGAATTCGAATGAGACAAAACAAGACTGAGCCGACTGTAAACGGGTGAATAAGGCCTTGGACGCACTATACGAGTTTTTGTTTAGTTTTGCAAAAATATTAGTCTCTAGTTTAATTTCGGTCTACAAGTGCGCGCTTTCTTTTGGTTGTTTTTTTTAGTATTCTAGAAAATTTGTGTCGAGCCGTAAAAAATCTTAATGTCACCGTCGTCCAGCCTCGGAGATGGAAATTTTCCACAATTTGGAGGCGTTTATCCGAATGAAAATTCCGATCGATGCAATCACTCACGTAAATCAATTGAATCTATTCAGGCGCGGCATTCGTTCTGTGATGAACGTACGCTTACCTACAAACGGAACCTAAAAGCAGGTTTTCCATTTCAATTTTATTGACACTTTGTGTTATCAAATATTTGGGTGTTGTCAGGTGCGTACACGATTGCTAAATTCAAAATTTGGTGGAGTCAAAATTTGTCGAGATATTTTGCACAGCCGAACAAGTGCGCACGATACCCACTTCAATACTAACGCTGTTGTGTTAGCATAATTGGCGATTTGGAATATTTCCTTGGAAAAGACCTTGCTTCTACAGTGCACTAAACGAGTTTTCCTAAATAGACGGCTGCAAAAGCGATATAAATCAGTCATAACGGAGCAAAGCTAAGATGAGCCTTGCCTACTTTAATTTGAAGGTGTAACACTCATTAGCAATTTTCTTTTGGGTTAGGAAACACCAATGAAACAAGGCAGGTCAGAGGTAGCCTAAGTGTAGCTGTACCCTTCCCTGTTCTATTTCTCCTGGGGGGGGGGAGGGAGGGTACGGCTACACGTAGGCTGGGTCGGAGGGTGATTCTCATCGAATTGGTAGGATTGAGATTAATATTTTTAAGTTTGTTATATTAATAGATTTTTAGTATCCAGAGGATGACTGAGTACTTTGGATATCTTCTCTATGTTTGGCTCTTTCTGGGGATATGCATAGGTAAGGATCGGTTGGCGATATCACTTGAATTAAAGAACAACGTCTTGACTCGACCATATATATCTCTCGACCGTAATTTTTATGATAGGTTGCTTGGCAAAACTCTATTCTGACAAACAGTATAATGTCCAAAACTTAACACTGATAGAAAGATTTCAAAGATGGGTGCTTTTTGTCAGCAACGTGTGAGCAAGAATAAAGACAAAAAGAACTTATTGATTCCAAAGAGAACAAAACTTAATTTACATGCAAGCTAGCTGAAAATTGCATTTTTTTTTTATTATTATTACGTGGCAGGCAGGGAATGATTACACGAAAACAAAAACTGGGTGGAACAAAATAATTAGAATTAAAAAAAATTGCAATAACTCGATCCTAGATTTCACTACAGCTCACAGAAAAACGTTCAAATGTTTTGCCTCCCGGTTAGCTCAATGGATAGAGCGCTGGACTGTAGTGCGGGAGGTCGAGGGTTCGAGCCCCGGCCGGACCAACACTCAAGGTCTTAAAATAATTGAGGAGAATTTGCTACCTTTCTATAA